AATAGTGGCATTTACTCTACGGTTATCGCCAGAATACCGCAATGTATGCTCTCATGTGGTATAGGGTTGCATCAATCTTCACAATACATTGGTCAATAACTTCATAATATATTTACAGAATAACCCCTCAAACAGACGAGTATACCACATGATTTAGATCAGTTACACGAGCGATAATTATTTTTTTTCGTGCTTCTCTGCTGAACCTTACATTTACCCAATTTAACCTTACTGTGTTATATTCACGTTTGCTGCCTACTTCTAAACACAAAAAACGTGGTATTGATATTTTCGGGGAGGAGCTACGTCACAAAGCGTGTTACGTTGCCAAGGCGCGCGTACCACTGTTCCATGTGTTTCTATGGGCTCTGAGCGTGCTTCTGTGGAACACTGGTTGAAGGGAGTTTTCGACTGTTGTTTTCACCAGTGATGCAGGCGGTGAAAATGCCTGGATGTTTGCTTCTGAGAATGTCAGATACCTTAGACCGGTTTGCATGAATAAAACTACAATCGTGCATTTAAAGGCGTGACACACTATTTTTTCAACAGGGTGAAGATTGCAATGGACACGGTACTCACTGTGGAGGTACTTCTGCTGGGACTACGGTTGGTATCGCCACATCGGCTAGTCTTTATAGCGTTCGTGTTTTGAATTGCATGGGTGCTGGATCAACAGCAAATATCGTAGAAGGTACGCCATGCATTAAATAAACTCACCACATTTTACAAATTTCTGGCATTCGAGGCGAACCAGGTTTAAAATGACGACTGGTGTTTTATTCTGTAGGTTGTGATGCCATTACCAATGACGGTTCTAAGCCTGCTGTAGCCTCACTGTCTCTTGGCGGGGGTGCAAGTACTGCCATGGATAGTGCTGTGGAGAGAATGATCGATGCAGGGTACACTGTCTCCGTAGCTGCCGGTAATGACAATGCCAACGCATGCTACACTTCTCCAGCACGAGTTGAACCCGTGAGTATTGACGTAATATGTGTAACTTTATTGTCAATCATCGAATGCATGTATCACTTGAATATTTAGAATTGTATTTCAGTCGTCATGACACCTCTCTCACTAACAAGCACGTGCATGACGTTTGCAACGTCAATGAATCATATTCACCCCAATCTGTACAAAGCGACTGCTCATTTTCAGAATATCGCGTTGCTGGAACATTGAATTGAAAACATTTGGTACTATATAACATATATAAATATATATGTGGAGGATTATCGTAGTAGTAGTTTTATAATAACCAACTATGAACAAGGACGACAAAATGGCGGAGAGTGACGCAGTGCGTGACGCAAAAATGTTTTTTTTCTTTACATTCAGGCGTTGACAGTTGGTGCCACTGACAGTGACGATGAGCGGGCATCATATTCTAACTATGGTACCTGTGTCGATATCTTTGCACCTGGAAGTGATGTTAGAAGTTCCTACCATCTCAGTGACAGCTCATATGCTGTTCTCAGTGGAACTTCGATGGCATGCCCTCATGTAACTGGTAAGTTATGCAAATGACGGCAAGTATATTTACGTGCATTACTTATGTGGAAGTACGATCAATCATTTGAAGATATTCACAGCATTGTAGCATTATTTAACAAGTTAATCTATATGCAGATATGCAGGTGATTGTACTAAGCTGCTTTATTTAACAATGTATTTTCCCATTTAAAGGTGTCGCAGCTGTTCATTTGGGAGCTGGTACTTGTGTAACACATGCTTCATGCAAAAACAAGATAACTGGAGAAGCTACCAGCGGCCTTGTAGGCAACCCAGGTGATGGATCACCAAATCTTTTATTGTATTGCGATTAACGTATGTATTTGGTAAGTTTTTTTTTTAATTATTTGCAATAGCAAACAAAATCTCTCCCAACCTCATGCTTCTGTGTCGTTGGCAATATTGCCGAAATATTTTCGTAATTCATGTTTGGAAAAGAACAAGTCGACAACTCTGATTTTCAAATTCACCCCCAACAATGCAAAATATACAATGCGAGATTAGTATATTGCGTTGGTATTTTCAGTATTTTAATCGCAGTTAAATCAAATGTATATAGCCTAACAGTTACCTCAGTAATATTGCTGTGTGATTGAACTATAGCCGAGTATCAACAAAATTATTCATAACTAATATTGAACATACTTTACATTATAATTATACTTATTTTTGTTTACAGACACTGAAATCGAATATCTCGCATATATTTAGTTTAATCGTTGAGTTATGTAAATCATCATGCTTATGTTTATTAAAATGTTTGTATAATAATAAACGAAACTTGTAATTCAACATTTTTTCTGAGCATATTTGTGAATCTAGATACACTTTAACTTCGTTATAATGAACACGTTGCAAGCCTCAAACAATATATGTGCTTAATTATAGAGAACACTTCACTATAAAAAAAAACTTTTTGTGTGGCCCAAAGATTTGTTTACAGTATATATCAATATTTGATCGCTAGTAATCAGATGCCAAATGCGAAATTTGTTTAAGTGAAAGTGTTTCTTTGAATTTAAACTTTCAATACGGATAGTACCATATCCCTGGATAACGCCCTCTCTCGTCATCGACACCACTGTTCTCTGTCACGGGGTAACCGTGGTATTTAGAGAAAATGAAACTATTTGAGGGTCAAAATAAGTCTCGTGGCTCTCGACTGGAAAAGTGCTTTGTTACATTTTTAATGAATACCTCATCGCATTGGTGTTGAGTGTGTCGTTTTGGCACCATGTGGTGTTGACGATTCGTACAAATTACAAGAATTATATGATAAATCCATTTATGAATTCTTAAATTAAAATAATGCATATAGTTCACAATACAAGCATACATAATGAACTGCAATGTATGCATGCCCAGTAACTTTCAAACTCTGTTTAATAGGGAAGATATAGATACAGCTACAAAAGCACAACAAGACAATAACAACAATTTTAATTTTAATCTGATTGATGGTAAATATCTGTGACAATCATGGTAATGTTCGTACAGATATTGGCTTAGATCTTCAGCCAGTTTCCGATAGTCCCACAACATACTGAAAAAAATAAGTCGTGACAGGACTGAATGTGGAAAGTCGTTCATTACATGCTATTACATTGCTTCGTGAATTTAATTTATTTTTACTGTATATTTTTTATTATTTTTACTATATATTTTTATCATTTGTTTATTATTATTATTATTATTATTATTATTATTACTTACATCTTATTTTGTATTATTTTCGCAACATACATCTGAACCAACGCATATACACCGTGTCACAAAAGTTGATTAGCAATCAATAAAACAGACACATGCTGATAGAAAACCATAATTTAATATCCATTGTATCCCCTTTCATCCTAATAACATATTTGAGCCACTCAGGCATAGAGTGCACCAAGTCCTTGA